GGATGTAGAGAAATGGGAAAGATCCTGAGGCACGTAATAAAAGGGCTGGAATGTAATCCACATGGCGAAAGGTTGAAGAAACAAGGTATATATGGTGCAGAAGAAAGCCTAACATTTGAAAGGCTACTATAAGATGGAGATTCCACTCCTCTCTCCAACCCTTAACACAAGAGGAAAGGGCCCAAGGCAAAGTGGCTGACCTGCAGAAGATTTGGTACAGCCTTTGTAGACCTGGAAACAGTACACAACTGTCTTAGGGGGCTAGTGCTAAAAGATGCATCAGAATGATGTGCAACAATGCATGTGCCACAGGTAAAAGTAAGCTGGGCTAGAATCCAGAATCTGCAATATGTGTTGGCCTACAGACCAATCTGTTCCTATCTGGAATGGATGTGGATGTAGTAAATGAGAATATTCAAGGGAACAGCCTCAGAATATACAATTTACTGATGGTTCAGTGACATGTGCACAAGATTGTAATGTCCTTCATGTCAATTTTGAACACTGGTATGCCTGGACCTGAATTGAGCATCAGTAGACCACAGCATAGCCACCAAGGGAAATAAGGCTCACTATGAAGGATGTCACAGAAAAAAAGGCTTAAAGAGAGCAAGGGAATTCAAAGTACTTCCGATTTGTGGTTGCTTATGATAGAGCCTCCTCTGTGATTTCTAGTATCAAAGCTGCTCCAAGTAATAGAACCTGATTTTAAAAAGATGTAGGAATTTATAATTCATCCCACCTTGATGGACAGAATGAAGACCTGGTCAGACACAAGTCAACAAGATCTCCAACATAGATATAAAGATGCTGAGGTAATCAAGGGTTCGAAGCTCTGTTATGGGAGCCAAAATTAAAGTCCGAGAAGCCTAGGAAGGGCTGTTTCAACTGAAGACAAGTTGACAAAAGTTAGAATACACCACACAACATGCCCACACTGAAGGACTGAGGACTACGTGGACAGAAGGAATACCAAAAACAGGGTGGGTGGTGGAAAGAAGGGGACTAAGTACATGGATTGGTAAACATTATACCTCAGAGAGGTCAAATCTGCTCACAGTGGTTAAGGACATAACCATAAGTTGTGGCAGGAGGCAAAAAGCTGATGATTCCAAATAGGAAGTGACAGTAAAGAAGTTACAGATAAGCTGAGAAGCACAAATTCCATTAGTAGAATCAGCCCAGTTCATGGTGGTTACATCTAACACAGACTATAAAGCCTCTAAAAACAGAGAATTTCAGAGTTACAGATTTCATCAAGCCAGAAGCCAAAATTTTCTTCAGGTTCTAGCACTGTTGGCTGCATCTGATGTGCCTAACCACATCCTGCCCCCCTGCCTTTTTTAAAGGGCTCCATCTCTACACCACATCTATGAACACTGTCACTTTGTTTTTGTAGTATTTCTTTAAAAAAAAAAGAAAAACACTACGTTAATATAGAGACTATCAAAGCATTTTATTAAAAATAAAGAAATAAGAAATTCAAGATAAGGTCCCCAAAATAAATCTTTGCATGGTACAAAATCCCATCCACTTTTGACACAAAGTCCTTTCACACAGAGTCATTGTACGATTAATTATTCATCACCCACATTCTCAATATGAAACACAAAAGTATTCTGCTGGAAACAACATTACAGTATGAATAATCAGAGCTATTAGCTTAACAGCATATTACTATACAAACTTTTGGCTTCATTTCTTGATATTAAAATGTCTTAAACTACCATCATACAGATTTAGACATACAACTCCCTCAGTCTGTGGACATTGCAATAGCTGTAGTAGCGTCTATTATGGCACAAATATTAGCAAGAAAATGCTTTTAATAAAAACTGTTAAATAACAAATTAAT